GTTACCTCCCTCTGCTGCTCCTTGTCCGTCACCGTTTCGACTAAGTATTTACACCTGATAAACGATCTGTCGATGCCTATTTTTTCTGATCTCCAGAGTTTCTTGATTTTTTCCCAGATGGTTGCATTCCCCACATACAGGTGGTGAACCTTTCCCGGCTCCGAGGCGTCGTGCAAGCCTTACAAATTTGTTCCTCTTTCACCCCTGGTTGGGACCAAATGGTGTTCACCTTCTTCCTTCCATACTTACTGAAGTCAATCTTCATGAGTCCCGACGTTCTGGTCTTCCAAATTACCTGTCGTCGCTTATCATTGATGATCTCTTCGCATTCCTCGATGTCTGTAGGCCTTTCTTCCACTGAGCTCTCTTCTCCTCTCGATTCCTCTGCTTCCCCATTCCCTGGTTCCCCTTCCCCTTCTGGTGTCCACGCTCTCAAAAACTGCCGCACGTCCCGCGACGACTCTCCTTCTTCCTCCTCGATAGCATTTATCATTATGGCTCTGGACAGCCAGTCCGCTACCACGTTGTCTTTACCTGGCTTATATATGACCTCCATATTGTACTGGCTTAGAAATTGTTTCCACCGAGTGACCCTAGCCGATGATTCCTTTAAATTACCAACCCATTGCAACGGTCTGTGATCGGTATGCACCCTAAATTTTCTGCCAAAAATATACGGCCTAAAGTGTCCTACCGCCCATACAATGGCCAAGAGTTCCCTTTCCAAGGCGCTATATCGCGTTTCCGCATCTGTAAGCCGCCGACTCGCATACGCTACTGGCTGTTCCCCCTTAGTTCCCTCTTGAGCAAGTACTGCCCCCAACGCATACTCACTCGCATCTGTAGTGACAATAAACATCTTCGCAAAATCGGGGAAAGCGAGTACCGGCTTATCCTGTAACCGCGCCATGCACTTCCTTACGCTGTCCTCTATCTCTGACGTTATTATTATCTTCCGGCCTTTCTTCAGAAGATTATTAAGAGGTGCTAAATACTCCGCCATTTCCGGCACGAACCGACGGTAATAGTTGAGTGTTCCCAATAATCTGCGGATCCCTTTTACATCCCTGGGCATCGCCATATTTTGTATCGCCTCGACTTTCTGTTTATCGGGCCTGATCCCCTCCTTTGAAATGGAATGTCCCAGAAATGTTATCTGATCCTGTCCCAGAATCGATTTTTCCGCCGACAACTTCAGCCCAAACTGCCTTAATCTGTCGAATACGCGCCCTAAATGATCGACGTGCTCCTCTTCATCCTTACTGAAGACTAAGAGATCATCCATGTAGACTTGACAGAATTCTTCGTCTAATCCTCTCAAGAATTCGTCCATAAACCTCTGGAAAGTTATGGGAGCGTTCTTTAGTCCAAATGGCATGCGAGTAAACTCGTAATGCCCCCTCTCGAACGAAAACGCCGTTTTGTGTTGGTCCCTAGGGTTCATACGAATTTGGTGGTAGCCCGCCTTTAAATCCAAGGTACTAAAAATGGTTGCCCCACTAAGCCTGTCAATAATATCATCGAATCGCGGAAGCGGATACTTCTCGTCTAGGGTGTTGTCATTGAGCTTTCTGAAGTCTACCACCACCCTGTACTTCTGCTCTCCCGACGACGTCTTTTTCTTCACCGCCCACAGGGGACTATTGTATGGTGACGTGCTGTCCACGATGATGCCCTGCTTCTTCAAGCTTTCGAGCTCCTCCTTGATATGGCGACGTAAAGCCTGCGGGTAACGTCGCTCCTTCACGTACGTCACCTTTTCCTGTTTTAACGGAATCTCATGTGCTGTCCTCCCCGTTGTGCTCAACACCTCCCCCTCTTTAAAAAAAATATCCGCGTATTCCCTCTTTATCCTTTGGACCCAATGTTCCGCTTGTTCTATTGCCCCAATGTTCCCTTTTCCTCCCACTCTCCCTTTCTTACACCGGTACCTCTTTCCTCCCATTCGCACCCTCCAACCTGTTCCCCTGTAGTCTATTCTTGGTCTCACTCTACTCAATAGGTCACATCCTATTATACCCCCATATTCTCTCGGCATATTCTCTACTACATGAACCCTCAACTTCCCACTTCCTGGGATCCATTTGTCTAAATCTAACTCTACTTCCCCTTCTATCCTACATGGACCACCCAAAGTGATCAACCTACACGTACATTTTTTTATTCCCGGTATCCTCTCTCCTTTACACAACTCCTCCAACATCTGCCTAGATACTATTGTATTCGAACTTCCCGTATCCACCAGACACTTTCCCTTCCCCACAACACTTATAATTGGCAAACCAACGCACTCACCTCCAATATTATTTACTACCGCGTGGCTGCCTCCCCTCTGCTCCTCTCCTCATTCGTCTGATCTTCCTCTCCTGTCCGCGACGGCTCCCCCTTCTCCACTCTTTCTGCTGATTCTGCCTCCTCGAGCTGCTCTCACCACCGGCTCCTCCTCCTCGGTTCCAGATGTTCCCGACGAATCGTCCGACTCCGATGCCGCTCCTCTCCTCCTCCACAATCTCTGGGCGTTCACCTCCATCGGCTCATCTCGGCCCACTTCCCCCCGTCTACTCATATACGGGCATTGTCTAGCAATATGCCCCTCAGTTCCGCATTCGAAACATCGAGTTCGCGGGCAATTCGCCACTAGGTGACCTATCTTTCCGCACCCGTGGCATCTCCTGTCCTCCTTTGTCCATTTCCTTCTCTCCTTCCCTGGCTTTTTCTCCCTCATCGCCGGTCTTTCTCTTGCACTAACTTCTCCTCTTTTCTTCCAGCCTTCCTGTCTCGTTCTAAATCTTCCGGTTTCCGCTCTCCTGTACGATACTCGGTTCCACCCATTCTCATTCTCCTCTTCTCCCCTGGCTGCTTCTTCCTCCCGCGCGCTTGCATCAATCATTTCCTGGGCGCACTCCACAAAACCTCTTGTCTCTAGGTAGTCCGTCCCTCTTTCCCGTATCTCTACCCAGCTGCACTTTGAGGATGGTTGCCAAGAACGCCATTCTTGCTCCTGTTTCCACCGCATCCGCCACTTCCCTCGTCTTCTCCGTTACATTGTTGAATCGTGCCAACAGGTTTGCCGCATATTGTCCGTTGGACTGATACGGCTGTTTCTTCTCTCGAAACATCTGTAAGATGTCTTCTTCTGGAGCCCAACGGCCCCCTCCAAATGCCTTCTTCAGCCTATCCTTCACGGTGCTCCATGGGGTGTCTTCGTCCGCCTGGATCATATTCAGCACACTCCTTTTAACCCGGCATACCAAGGCTGCCCTTAATGCGTTGGCATCCAGCGGATCTATCAAGTTTTCCCCTTCTTTGGCCGCTATACGCGATATCACCCGATCGCCTCCCTTTAGAAAGTGATTCAACTCACCTGTTCCTCCATCAAACCTTTCCAGATCAGATATAGCTCTCCTCAGGTCCTGCGATGTCGCCGTTCTAACCTTTAGCCATTCCAGCGTCGTCGCATGTGCTGACGCTAACGTCTCCGTAGGTAGCGGAGGAAAGTCCCTCGCTAACGCTTCTGCTAACGTAGGAAACGCTGGCGGTGGAGCCAACGGTGCCGCTGGTGGCGCAGTCGGTTGTGCTACCTGTGGTGGTGGTACTGGTGGTGGTTGACGTACTGGCGGTTGACCTACTCCGTTCGGCATCCTTTCCTTAATTTATTTCCACGACGTGAAAAAAAAGAAGAAAAGAAAAAAAAAACAACTACAAAATTAAATTTTTAACTTCCCGGGTTTCGGCACCACTTACGTCGGTTCGAACTAGGAAAGATAAAAAAAAGAAAGAAAGGTTTGAAATGAAACGCGTGGTTGCTCAAATAAGACTGACTTTGTTCTCTCCGTAATGCTATATATATAGCATTACGGTTTGTTTACAACTATTGACTAGGATTAACTCTTATATAAACTTACATCTAACCATAACTTATATATATATATATATATATATATATATATATATATATATATATATATGACGTGTTTTTTCTTTTTCAGAACAGATTGTTTTCACAATTTTCGGTTGCTTAGAACATTAAGCTTATCTCTTTCTATCATTTTTTGTATTCGAGCTCGATGAGAGGAGCGAACAGCCAGGGCTGCAGCCCAGAGACCCGGTCTACAAAGTTGTTTTTTTAAATTCAAAATTTATATTTAAATAAAATATAGATAACATTAAAGATTATCTATATTAATCATATAATGTCTCCATATGATTACTTCTTTTTTCCTTTTGTTAGGAAGTTGTAGAATTTATTCAGAGATTGGCAATAAAATCTTCCATGAATGCAAAACAATTTTGTATTTGTTACTTTTAACTTATAGTTGACATTTCGGGATCCATTTTCTCATCATAAAAACTATCCTCGCAATTCATTTGTATAAATTTCCTGTCTGCTCCTTCGTCTTATTTTATACATTTCATCAAAGGTAGTATCCAGAGCCACCATATTTGTTTATGAGATGGTATGGTGGTTCAGGATAATACATATGATGGAATGTATAAAATAAGACGAAAGAGAACACATGGAAATTTATATAAATGAATTGCTAGGATAGTTCTGAGGTTGGGAAACGTCAACTATAAGTAAAATGTTACAAATACAAAATTTGTTGGCATTCATAGAAGTTTTTATTGCCAACCTCTGTAACTCCATGTAATGTTTTTGTTGCAGACGATATACATTTATAAATACATTCATTAGTTAAAAAGATGTAGGAGAATGAAAAAAAAGAATGGAGAGAATCTATTGTTATTCCGATTTACAAAAAGGGCTAGAGGGCGGATTGTAATAACTATTGAGGAATTTCACTCCTTCCTTGTAAAAGAAATGATTTTACCTGATGAGAATATAATATCAAAACAGTAAATTAAGAAATAAGAATGAAAAAGTTAAAATTCTTCTCGTTTTGGTATTCTACGCCTACAATAAATTTTACTTGAAGTTATCTGAACTTCTTTGCCATGTTAATTGATATCTTCGTTAGTGAACGTTATTGAAGGTCTCCCAATAAGGAAGAATGTTTAATTTTAAATGATTATATAACGATGGTTGAATGTAAGGTTTTTATATTTATATTAATTTTTCTTTTATCTGTTTTCTTCGTAATTTTCATTAAACTCCATAATGTAGAAACAATCGAAGAGCGCATGCTTTTCAACGATTTTATTGAGAATTATAATAAAACTTACAAAATAGATTCAGAAGAATATGAGTTACGATTTAAAACATTTCAGGTAATTAACCCTATGTTTAAGCATAATCAATTAATATATATATATATTTTTTTTCTTTTTACACATCAACTGTGGATGGCTCTTATTGATTTATCAATTATGTAATTTACTATATTACATAATCAGATCATGTATTTTAGGTCCCAATATTTACTAACTTCTAAAATATTCTTATGCTGTTTATTTTTTATGAGATTCTAACTCTCAATTGTTTATAAATATGTAAGTGATGTTAATTTTTTTTCATTTTTATTGATCATTTGATAAGAAAACCTTCAATAATTGATAAAATAGTCATTATACATTTTTGAAGAAACATGTATGCATCTGTAAGTACAGGATTTCTCTCGATTTCTACCTTACTAAATTCTTTACTGTACATTTCTGAAAAACATTTTAATCTTCTCCATCTTCTTTGTACTTAAGTTTTTTAGAAATGTCGGGTCTTTCTCTGATGCTAATTGATATTCTGTTTCTTTCCTGTATTTCTTGCTTCTAAACAGTATGTGCCGTGTGCCTTTTGGCGCTTTACAAACTTTGGTATTGCTGTCCTTTTTTATTTTTATGAGATTGATTGATGGGGGTCTTGGTGTTCTCTTTCAAAGTTGGTCTTATCTCTGCAGCTCTTTTCAGAAGCCTCGTTTCCAGACAAGCCTACATTGCTTGGTATCCACTGAAATGGGGCGGGGATGGCCGAGCGGGCTAACGTGTGTGCACAGCACCACGCATTGTCTGGCAACCCGGATTGAAGATTATGTGAAAATAATACCGAGATCGTGTCCCAGTGCCAGGGGGGTCTTTTAACTCTGCCATTAACCCCCGCCCTTACTCTTTGGCCTGGGAAAACCTTCCAGGATAGCCTAAAAGGGGAGGAAGGGGAGAAACAAAAAAAAAAAGGTATCCACTGACATTTGTCGTGGTTGTTGAATGTTATTTTTATTTTCTTTTATGCTATGTTTTCTTTTTCTTTGACTACTTCTGGTGCCGTCACTAGCGCCAAGGAGCCTCGATCCAACACAGCCATACCTCTGGCTCCCGGCTAAACTGTGGTAGGAAATTATGGGAGGTCCTCGTGGTCTCTACCCAGTGGGTCGAGCTTCCATTACTTTTCGAGGTTATCTCTCAACATTTATTCATGTGACCAAACCACTTTAGTTGTCGATTTCCAGGCGTGGTCTTAGCTCCACCATCTTTAGCTCCTCCCTTATCTGTTCATTTCTGAATCGATTCTTTTTGGTCTTTCCAGCAGCTCTCTGAAGGAACTTCATCTCAGCACCTGTCACCCGGCTTGCCTGCTTGTCCAACATAACCCAATGTTTTCTTCTGTAACTCAGGGTTGGTGGATACACAGACTTGTAAATATGCCTTTTAGTTTCTTTACTAACGTCTTTATGTTCCACTATGGTGTTGCAGATAGTTTAATATTTCTGATTGAGTTTGGAAATCTTATTTGTTATTAAACTTCCCCGTATTGCTAATAACTGCCCTCAAATAGGTAAATTTCTGTACAACCTTGAGTACCTCAGGATTACATGTCAACTTGACATCTGCTTGTTCCTCTCTGGAGGAGCTCTTCCTTCCATTCTACAAGGGCCTATTACAGCGTGTTTCTCGTATCTGCTATCAGTACTATCTGATCGGTATACAATAGGCTTTGAACTATTACAATATTCATGTTCCATTTACCGATTACCATGTTCCATTAGTTTGATTAATTGATCAATTGATTTAAAGTTTGGAATCGAAATATTTCATCTCACTATCAGTGTACGGAGAAATTTGTTGGTATTTTTGATCAATTAATTGATTTAGTTCAGTGGATCTCACAGACCCGTAGCGACCTTCCATGTGACCCTAAAGCTAGCAATCTTTGGAGTGTTAAGATCCTTAAATACCATGTATATGTTCTTATCTCTGTGGTGCTTCTCAGTATGAAGACGTGGTCTTGAGTCTGTCTCCCTGGACGAAAGCCTATTTGTTCTTCTTCTATTTGGTCTCGACTGTGATCCTTAGTCTTTTTACCAGGATTGAGGTATATAGTTCGTAAGCCACCGAAAGTAAACCTGTAATTTTAACAATCGGTGGAGCTAACTTTCTTACTGATAGGGACAATTATACTGAACTCCCAATCCTGTTGGATTCCATTGCTGTTGGGCAGTGGCGTGTTTAGGTCCAGGGGATCTTTTTCTATGTATATTGCTTGTAGCATAGGCTGCCTTTCAAGTATTGAATTATTTATAATTGGGGGGTATATATTTCTTGAAGTTATTACTTAACTTAAGGAGTGCTGTTTATGTAATAAGCTCTTTAGAATGAATTTCTTTGTAAGCCATGCTCTTTAGGTTACTGGGATTTATCCTGCTTCATCTAACTTGTATTTGTCGGTGTGGTTTTAAATACGCCTAAGCATATTTTGATTGCTAGAGTTTGGACAGTTCTGTTAAAGGAGATTTCGTGTTATAATTTTTTTTTTTTGGCTTTAAGATTTTAGACAAAATCCTATTTTGCTTCATTATAAATTACGTCGAAATAGGATTTTAGGATAGAAGTTTTGGTTTATACTTAGCTATTTCTTTGTTGTTGTTTTTTTTTTAAAGAATAAAGTAACTATCATTATATGATTCATATCTCACTGTACCTTATTATGATTTTTTTTTTTTTTTTTTTGTGTACATATATTTTTACTGTTGAGAATGTATATACTGTTTTATATGTAGTTTTAATTAATATATATATATATATATATATATATATATATATATATATATATATATATATATATATATATTATATATATATATATATATATATATTGTAATTCTGAAGGTTTGCAAATAAAAAATAAATATACATGCAAATAATTAATGTATTCAACATTACTTGTCAAAATTATTATTTAGCAATTTTCTAATTTTATTATATAGATATATTACTATTAAGATGTATTTTTCTTGTTAACAGATATGCAAAGATGATTTAAATTGTTTTCTTGTTATTATATCATTAAAATAATGTTGATACATGTTTTTTTTTTTTTTTATAGCACTGCTTTTATCATTTTATAAAAGAACTAGCTCTACTGAATTATACTTTAGTCCTTAGTTCTGCTTGCTTTGCTTTTGTTACCTTTGCTGTATGCCTGCCCTATCTAATTTTATTTGTTTTTCACATACCCTTTCATATCTGAATTATTATCTGTTAAATTATTTATTTGTTCAGTTTATGTTTTTGGTTCTTTATGTCAATTTTATTTACTGTTATTTAATTTATATTCTATGTATAAGTCTCCATAATGTGTTTAATTTTTTGTATCAATTTTGTGATTTATGGTGTTGTCACTAATTTTTGTCACAGAGGGAGAGAGTCAAAAGCATTTGCTCAATTTTTGGCCATTAATTCAAAGTGAAATGAAATAAGATTACAAAACTTTTTCAAATGCAAGTACATTTATTTAAGATACTAAGTATAACCAATTAGATAAACTAAATAACTTCATAAATAAATATGAATGAAAAACATGTTTTAAATGTATTTACACAAGTTCATATACTGTTATTATTTACATTATTATTATTTTTTTTTTTTTGAGAATTTGCATTTAGGATTAGTGGAATCCTAAAGATGTATTATTATGAAATTTATTTAGTTTTTAAGGTTCTGTTCTGTTGATTTAGAATGGCACTTAAATAAGGTGAAATATTTATTGCCATTTCAGAAAAAAAAAAATTATCAGAAAAAATGAAAAAACATATTGGAAAATCAGTCAATTCTCAACTCTGAATTTCTAAATGGCTCATTATATTATTAAAAGATATAAGATAGGAACCACCTCCCATGAACCACGAAAAGAGTGCCTTAAGGTAATGTCGCCTCAAGCGTGCATGGGCATTATAATATATGCTACTAACAAACGATCTTCTAGAGCTTGGATGTTGGTAGAAATGGTGATGGCTCCTATCAAGCATGTGAGTGAGCCAAGTTTAAGAAAATCCAATTATCATAATGATAACATGGTATGATGACTAGGAAGAAACTTTTTGTCATTGATGTTAATGGAAAATAAAAACAGTTTGTAATAGAGTATTGGTATATAACAATAGAATTTTGGCAAAATTTTTTGTTTAGCAATACCATATTTAGCAAAAATTAAATTAATTTTAATGAAGCTATAGTAATTTAATATTAATTTTAATGGAATTAAAGTAATTTAATAATGGTGGAAGTGTAGAAGGAAATATATGTGATCAAAATCAAACAAAGAATCTAAATGACTTTCAACTATGTTCTGTAGAGCCGTCATCCAGCTCCTGATTCCAAGCGTATCCCTTACATCTCTCGCCATCTCTCCCATCTTTTAGTGCAGTGGAGAGGTTCAGTCAAAATCATCTTAGTGATTGCTTGGTCCTCCATCCTTGCCATTAGGCCAGTCCATCTCACTCTTCCAAGCCTCATTCTGAGAATGACATCTTTTGATTAAAAGTTGAGTAGAATGCTATGTTCTTTTAACTTCTCCAGTTCCCATCGATACAAACTCCTTCAAATATTTTTCAAAGATTAGGAGGTATTGCTCAATTTTCTTAATTGTTATCCGTGTTTCTGATCCGTACAACAGGATTGGGTAGATTAATTTCTTACTGATGGAGCTTGGTCTGCTGGGATAGAAGGTGAAAGAGATAAATTCCTTTTTGATGTCAAATTAGCACTTGTTGGCCATCAATATTAATTTTCACTTCAACCTCAGATGCATTATCTTGAGTCTAAATTGAACAGTGACTCTAAATTTGTGTTCGGGTTACGATCAATATATAACTAACCGTTATATTTGATCCCTTTTGTCCGTTATATTTGATCCCACTCTCTGTTCAAATAAAATAAAGTTGAGTACTCTAAAATTGAAATAAGCTCACTCTTTTTCGCTTACAAATTTTAAAAAGAGATTTTAGACCTTTTGACTTTTTTACAATAACAATTATTCACATGTGAATATTTTTAACAATGTG